CCTTCTAGTTGCTGTATGTGGGACGCGGCCTCAGCATGGCCGGAGAAGCGGTGCATCGGTGTGCGCCCAGGATCCGAACCCGGGCCGCCAGCAGCGGAGCGCGAGCACTTAACCGCTAAGCCACGGGGCCGGCCCCATTGTCTTTCTAACTGACTTGCAGGATGCCAGTTCTCTGTTGGTTAGTGTACTGAGTTGAAATATTTACTCTTTTTCTTTATGATTTGTGCTTTTCCTTTCTTGTTTATAAATTCTTTCCTACTCTGAATTCATAAAGATATTTACCTATATTTTCTTCTAAAAGTTCTCAAATTTTGCTTTTCATGTTTGGTTCTTTAATCTATTTAGAATTTATTTTTGGTATGCTGTGAACTAGGGATCTCCTTTCATCTTTTATTCATAAGGTTAGTCAATTTCCTCAGCACCTTTTAATGAACCCTTTCCTCCACTAACTTGATACTTTAGTCACATACAAAGTTTTCACATATATTCGAGTCTTTTTTTAAGATCTGTACCATGTTTCACTGATCTGCCTGGGCTTGTAGTTGTAAGAATAACTTGGCCCTTTTAGGAAATTTTTCATTTTGTTTAAGTTTTCAAATATACTGGCATAAAAGTTTTCATAGCATGTTCTCGTTTTCATTCCAAATATTTTTATTTGTACCTTTTCTTTCTTTTTTTTGATCAGTCCTAATAAGTTTGTCTACTTTATTAGTGTTTTCAAAGAACCAACTTTTGGTTTTGCTGATTCTTTTATTTCCTACTTCACTAAATTCTGGTCTTCTTTTTATCCTTTCTTCCTTCTACTCCTTTGGAATTTTTCTATTTTTTTCCCTAACTACTTAAAAGTGAATACTTAACTCACTAATTGTTCCTCTTTTTTAAATAAATGCATCTAAAGCTAGTATTTTACCTCTAAGTCCTGCTTTATCTTTATCCTTAAGTTTTGATATATGATGTCTCGATGGGTACGGGGTCAGGTACTATGTAGAATGTCCCTCAATTTGGGATTGTCTGATATATAGTGTTTTCAAAGTTGATCGCTTCTAAATATTTTCTAATTTCCATTATGATTTTTTCTTTGACCCATAAATTATTCCAAAGTATGTTTTTAACTTTCCAAATATAACTTTTCAACTTATCTTTCTATTACTGATTTTTAATTACATTGCTACATCAATAAAAAAGTGTATGATATTGACTTTGTAGAATTTCTTGGGATTTACTTTGTGGCCTGGTACATGGTTAATTCTTATTAATATTTTATACGTGCCTGAAGAGAATGTGTATTCTCTAATTTGGGATATGTATGGTTTTATATATCTCTACTATATCAAACATTAATTACTGTTCAAATCACTAATGTGCTTACTAACTACTGGGAG